ATACTGAATGGTGAAGAGATGAATTCTTTTCCTCTGAGATCTGGAACAAGAGAAGATGCTCCCTTTCCCCATTTTTATTCAGCATAGTAGTCGAAGTCCTAGCCACAGCCGTTAGTCAAGGAAAAGAAATAAAACGCATCCAAACTGGACACAAAGAAGTAACTATTTGCAGATGGCCTGATACTATACACAGAAAACTCTAATCCCTCCATCAAAACCTATTAAAACTAATAAATGAATTCAGTAAAGTTGCAGTAAAGTATACAAAATTAATATACAGAAATCTTACGCTTTTCTGTACGTTAAAAATGAACGATCAGAAAGAATATCAAGAAAGCAGTCCTGTTTAAAATTACTTCCAAAAGAATAAAATACCTAGGAATAAATTTAACCGAGGAGGTGAGCAAGCTGTGTTCTTAAGTCTATAAGGCGTTGAAGAAAGCAGTATTTTTTTGGATATGTCTCCTTAGGCAAGGGCAACAAAAGCAAAAACAAACAACACGAAAGAACAAACAAAACAAAACAGAAACAGACTCATAGGTACAGAGAACAAGCTGGTGGTTGCCACAGGGGAGTGTGGGAGGGGGGAAGGATGAAACATGTAAAGGGGATTAAGAGGCACAAACTTCCAGCTGTAAAAGAAATAAGTCATGGGGATGTAATGTACACATAAGGAATATAGTCAATAATACTGTAACAACTTTGTGTGGTGACAGATTGTAACTGGTTTTATTGTGGTGATCATTTCATAATGTTTAAAAATATCAAATCACTGTGTTGTGCACCTGAAACTAGTGTAATATTGTATGTTAATTATAAAGCAATAAGAAAGAAATTCAGTGAGAAATTACCGGTTTTCCAGAAGACCCTGTGACTTCCATCTTGAACTAAAGCTTCCAGCATCACCATACAGATTACCACCCTAATGAATTACATGGAAGCCGTTTCCTTCTTTTACTATAGGGTCAAGCTTAGTTATGCCTCCCTAAATAGTAAATCTTGTCTCCTCTTGAACATTATGTATGTAATGGAGTAATATTACAGTCATGCTTCTTAAAATTTTCTTTTATTTATTTAATGCCATGTTTCAAAACTGATCTGTATTCTGTCTGTAGTTTCAGTTTGTGAATTTTTACTGCCATGTAATATTCCATTGCATATATATAAACCACAAATTTTAAAAAATTAACAAAAACATTTATTGTAGTATAGTTGATTTACAATATGTCAGTTTCTGCTGTACAGCAAAGTGATTCAGTTATACCTATATATGTTCTTTTCCATTATGGTTTATCACAGGCTATTGAATATAGTTCCCTGTGCTATACAGTAGGACCTTGTCGTTTATCCATCTTATATATAAATAGTTTGTATCTGCTAATCCCAAACTCCCAATACCTCCCTCCCCATTGGCAACCGCAAGTCTGTTCTCTATGTCTGTGAGTCTGTTACTGTTTCATAGATATGTTCATTTGTGTTGTGTTTATTTATTTATTTGGCTGCACCTGGCCTTCGTTGTGGCACATGGGATCTTCACTGCCGCGTGCGGGATCTTCTTTGGGGCGTGCAGGATCTTTAGTTGCGCATGCGAACTCTTAGTTGCAGCATGTGGGATCTAGTTCCCTGATCAGGGTTCAGACCTGGGCCCCCTGCATTGGGTGCATGGAGTCTTAGCCACTGGACCACTAGGGAAGTCCCTTGTGTCATTTTTTAGATTGCACATGTAAGTGATATCATATGGTATTTGTCTTTCGCTTTCTTACTTCACTTAGTATGATCATCTCTAGGTCCATCCACTTTGCTGCAAGTGGCATTATTTCATTTTTTTTCTTTCAAGTTTTTTTTTTTTTAAAGAAGATGTTGGGGGTAGGAGTTTATTAATTAATTAATTTATTTTTGCTGTGTTGGGTCTTCGTTTCTGTGCGAGGGCTTCCTCTAGTTGTGGCAAGTGGGGGCCACTCTTCATCGCGGTGCACGGGCCTCTCACGGTCGCGGCCTCTCTCGTTGCAGAGCACAGGCTCCAGACGCGCAGGCTCAGTAGTTGTGGCTCACGGGCCTAGTCGCTCCGCGGCATGTGGGATCCTCCCAGACCAGGGCTCGAACCCGTGTCCCCTGCATTAGCAGGCAGATTCTCAACCACTGCGCCACCAGGGAAGCCCTCAATTTTTTAAATAGATCTTTATGGGAATATAATTGCTTCACTAATCATTGTGTTAGTTTCTGTTGCACAACAAAACGAATCAGCCATATGCATACACACGTCCCCATATCCCCTCCCTCCCATCTTCCCTTTCCCACCCTTTTCCATTTCTTTGTCTGAGTAGTATTCCACTGTGTGTGTGAGTGTGTGTGTGTGTGTGTGTGTGTGTGTGTGCACGCGTGTGTGTGTGTATATATATACACACACATACGACGTCTTCTTTATCCATTCATCTGTCAGTGGACATTTAGGTTGTTTCCATGTCTTGACTGTTGTATATAGTGATGCTATGAATATAGGTGTACATGTATCTTTTCGAATTACAGCTTGTCTGGATATATGCCCAGGAGTGGGATTGCTGGATTATATGGCAACTCTATTTTTAGTTTTTTGAGGAACCTCCATACTGTTCTCCATAGTGGCTGCACCAATTCACATTCCCACCAACAGTGCAGGAGGGTTCCCTTTTCTCCACACCCTCTTAAGCATCTATTGTTTGTAGACTTTTTAATGGTGGCCATTCCGACTGGTGTGAGGTGGTACCTCATTGTAGTTTTGCTTTGCATTTCTCTACCAGTTAGCAGTGTTGATTGTCTTTTCATGTGCCATCTGTATGTCTTCTTTTAAACCACAAATATTAATTGTGGCATTGATGTCTATGGTTTTTGTCTAAAACTATTCTCATGAATGTGCTCTGAGTCCAAGCTCACATTGCTCGCCGTGGGACAGAGAGATGAGATGTTGGGGCAACGAATAGTGACTTTATTCAGAAAGCCAGCAGACCTAGAAGATGGTGGACTAGTGCCCCAAAGAACCTTCTTACCTGAGTTAGATGGGTTTTTTTTTGTGGTGGGGGTCAAACAGTGTTTATTAAATGTACAGTAGCCCTTGCCCCATGGGGAAGAAAATTCCAGGGAGAACAGAGAATAATACAGATTAAACACCCACCTGTGCATTCACACTTTCTCACACACACACACACACACACACACACACAAAGCGAAGGAGGTGTGGCTGGTTGTTGCACACTTTTTGATGCTGGAATCCTTTGTTCTTGCAGCTGTCCATGTAGCTCTGGTCATAATGTTCCTTTAAACCTCCAACAAGAAAAGGTTACTCTCTGTTCTGCAACTTTTTATCTCTGTATGTATGAAGTGTTATACCTTTAAAGGTCAGGGTCTTCAGAATGGGCTATTCTGTATATTTCAAGCTATAGGCAACGTTCTTTTGCAAAGGTTCATGACTGAGCACAGGCAACAGAGCACAAGGGCTGGAGCTAAAGGAATTAGGTCCAATATGGAGTCAGGTTTCTTCTCCTCTGTTACAAACGTATCATATGCATATGCACACACTTTCCTCTAGGGTACACCGTTATGGGCTAGAGACGTGTGTCTCTTCCTTATAATGGATAATTGTTATCTACTTTCCTCATTGACTGTTAACAATTTGAACTCCCACCAGTTACATATTGGGATTCTAGGCACTCAATATTTTTTCCCACAGTTAACATTGCCATTGTTTTCTATTTACCTTTAATGTGGATGTAATAGGATTTTGGTATCATGCTTTCACTATCACTGTGGCATGACACTGAGGTGGAAATTACCATAAATTTTAAACTCTCTTTTTTCAATTAATTAATTATATGTTTTTGGCTGTGTTGGGTCTTTGTTGCTGCGCCCGGGCTTTCTCTAGTTGCAGCGAGCGGGGGCTACTCTTTGTTTGCGGTGGCTTCTCTTGTTGCGGAGCACGGGCTCGTGGCACGCGGGCTTCAGTAGTTGTGGCACGTGGGCTCAGTAGTTGTGGCTTGCAGGCTCAGTAGTTGTGGCGCACGGGCATAGTTGCTCTGCGGCATGTGGGATCTTCCCGGACCAGGGCTCAAACCCGTGTCCCCTGCATTGGCAGGCAGATTCTTAACCACTGCACCACCGGGGAAACCCTAAATTTTAAAATAGAAGATGACCTGCGTGTACACTGAGATCATCAGTGGGTGTGCTGCAGCTGGTTTTACTCACTTGCACATTCCAGCTCTGCATACAGTGCATTCCCACCGGCACCTTGAAGTTGACCAAAAGAGAGTATTTACACCAAAGAAACAGAGGATTGCCACAGTTAGGGCTTTTGAAAAAGTGATACATTTTTAGAGCCATTTTAGCAGCACACCCACTGGCTGTCGCTTCAAACACCATCGTGCTCATTCAAACACCTCGTGTTTCTGGAGAAACTGTACACTAGGTGTTGTCTCGTGAGGAGAGAATAGACTGATGGGTCCAGGAAAAGTTTTAGGGAATAGTTTTAGATTTACCTGTTCCAAACTGTTGACTGTTTTCACCCATTTATTCAGTTATTAAAACAGAGTCTGTGTTCTGGGATGAACGAATAAGGGTCAATGACACACATTAGCGAATGTGGAAATTAAAAAGGAAGAAACATGTGTTTCATGATAAGTGAAACAGAACATGAATATGTATAAATGTAAGGACCCAAACCTGCTGTGTGCGATGTGCCTCACGTCACAGGGGTGAGAGGGGACGGGGCAGTCAGGGAGAGTCATCACTGGTGGGGAGGGAAGGCACCATGGTAACCGAGGCCCAGTCCTCCACAGGGACTCCTGGACCTTCTCCTGCACCCACACCATGTCTCTCCCTCCCTGGTCAGACAGTTCACACAACACGTGCTGCAGATTCTCTTCCAGAACCTCCTGGGCACATAAGGTCATGTCCAGGGCCCCACCACTCGGGACGGTGCACGGTTCCCTCTTGTGTTCAGCTCCTGGCTGCATCTTGGGCTCCTCCGTGGCCATGTTGAGCCTGAAAGAGCAGAATCCCGAGGCCCAGCAGGATTGAGCCGGCCATGCCCATCCGGATGAGATTCTCCACTGTGTAGTCTTGGGGGTGTGAGGGTAGGAATTCTGGACAAGAGATCACAAGGTCAGAGCAGATCCCAGTCACTCCTGAATCCTGGATGTCCACCCAGCGTACTGGTTCCTTTTGTTCTGTCCTCGACAGGACAGAAACTCGGAGCCCAGCCCCATAACTGAGGATTTCTTTTACTAATCACTGCTGGCGTCTGACTTGTTTTGTGGCGGGTGGATGGTGTCAGCTGCTCACGAGAATCGTAAAGTGAGGGTGTGAGTGCGGAGTTGGGGAGACACGAGCCCTTCTCCTGGGTTCTGTGTCCTCAGTGCCTCCAGTTCTCATATTACAGCTCTACACGGTTCCTTAATGAACCCTTCCTCTAATGTGCCAGCTTCCCTCTGCTCTCATTGGATTCTCTCAGCCTCCATGTGCTCTTTGAATTCAGAACCTGCTTTTGAATCACTTTGGAACAGAGTTGGCTGTGCCCCCTGTGCTCAGGATTAGTGAGAAAAGTGGTCTCTTAAGACAGAAATAATTGAGTGCTGTGTGTTCTGTGTTCAGTCTGAGATTGAACCCTATAATCTTATTCTCCTACTTCTGGGAGATCCCACTGATTCAACAGCTGAGGACCCAGGATCCAGTGATGAGACTTTGGAGTCAGGGGCCATTGAATGTCCTCCTCTCTGGAGGCCCACTGTGTCCCCTCATTCATTACTACCTCAGACATTTCTGGGGACAGAGCCCTGAGCTGACTGAGTCAGAGAGGACAGGGTCAGGGTCCCTCACCTGAGACCGCGAGCTCCAGGGGGGCACTGGCGTGTGACAGCAGGTAGGGGTTACTGCTGAGTGAGCTGTAGCACCTGTAGGTCCCACTGTGCGCTGAGGTCACGGGACTCATGGAGAATTCGGCCTGGTAATGCCCACCTCGGTACTTTGATCTATAGTAACAGTGATATCTCCCTGCATAGTCCTGTGTCATGTATGGGATGGAGAACTTGCCCTTGTCCCTGGGCTCCAGTGAGGGCCATCTGTCCCAGGGAACTGAGCTTCCCTCTTTATCCAAATGGAGCACCCAGGCCCCCCAGGGTCCACTGACACCAGATGGTCACGGGGCTCCCCCAGGGGATCACAGAGCCTGGCTCAGCCCAGATGGTGGGTTTGGGGAGGGTCCCTGGAAGGACATCAGAGGCTGGGTCACAAGACATCCTCAGCCCACGGTCCCCAGCTCTCAGCCCCCAACCTCCCGGACTCCCCCTCCTTCAGCCCAGAACTGCTGTTCCCCACCCCATTGCCTGGGGTGGGGCCCTTGTCCCCATGAGCAGGAGGGAGCTGGGACACCTGGGGACAGACTCACCTGCCTGCACCTGGGTCCTCAGACCCACACTCAGCCCTGGAAGAGAGACCCCTGTGAGAGGTTCGCCCTGAATCCTGAGCAGCGCCTCTCCTACCCGTGAGCCTCCTGAGTCCTGGGGTCTCCTTAAAGAGCAGCCTGGCTGTGGGGAGGGGTCCCTCCCTGGCTGGGGCTTCCCCTCCCCCTCCTCCATCTCACCGAGGCAGAGCAGGGCCGTGAGGCTGGGGGTCATGGCGTCTCGTCCCTGTGGTCCAGGCGGTGCAGATAGAGGAGACCACGGTGCCCTCAGGACGGAGACCCGAGGGTGTGTCCACTGGGAGGCTGGTTCTCCCCGTCACGGGGCTGTCACGTCAGCAGCCCCACAGGAAGGGGAACTGCCCCTCCCCAGGAGCCTGGCTGTCATTCCCATGACAGACCCGGTGTCTTCCTGAGACGCCCCTTCCAGGTGAGGGTGACCCGAGCACGTCCTTCCCTCTCAGAGCCTCCCCGTTGGGTCTCCTTCGTCCTCAGCCGGGTCCATCAGCAGGTCCCTGTGGGGTCCTCACCATGGACAGGGGTCCCCCAGGCCCTGGCGATGCTTCAGGGAGGATGCAGGTTCCTGCTGCACCGCGGAGCTCAGATCAGCAGAGACACACGTTTAACATCTGCCTACAGCTCCGTGGAGGTCAGTGTGGCGGTGAGCACAGAGGAGAAGTTCGGGGAAATAAGGAAGGAAACATGCCTGCTCCCCTGGCCCCAGAGTGTGGCTTTGCTCTGTGTCTCAGCCCCCTTCAGGGACTTCTCCCTTTTTCTTGAAACAGCCTCCACCCCACCTTCCTGGGAGCAAGCCCCTGAGTCGTTCCTTCCTCCTCGGTGCCCCTTGATCCTTGGACAGGGCTCCGTCCTCCCCGTCCTGTCATCCTGCCTGGAAGCTAAGGGGACCTTGATTTGAGTTAGAGGTCTCAGTTTGAAGGAAAACATCTCTATTTAAATCTGTCCCCACTGCTCTTGTGACCGTGAGGGCAGTGCCCTTTCTGAGCCTGAGTTTCCTCCTCTGCATGTTGTCACGAGCCCCACTCCTCAGAGTGGCTGTGAGCTCAATGGTGTCAGGTTCATTGCACGATCACCATTGTTAATTTCCAGAGCAGGTGGCAATAGCAGTGGATGGGACATGAAAGGATCCTGGGCTCAGACTCCACGGCAAAGTGGGTGATTGTGGTGCCCACCTAAGAGCCCTCCTCTGCTCCTAACACTGAGAAATGCTATTTTGAATATTTCTGAAACACGTACCCACAGACATGTGCAGAAAAAGGGAAAGAAAGTTCCCCAAATGGAGAGGGAACCAGACCAAAGAAGAGGGAACTGGGCTGAGTGGCCCCCGCTGGCCGGGATCGTCAAGGGGGTCATAGGGAGGAGGTTCCCGCCAGTGTGGACAGAGAGAGGGACCCAGGTCCTCACAGGCAGGGAGGGGTCAGGGCTCCAGGTGAAGGTTGAAGCTGTGGCCCCACTTGCCCGCGTTTCTGGACGGGCACTGGGAGAGCTCTGCTCACTGCCCCAAGCCCGTGGTCAGCACTGAGCCACCTCCCCTGTGTGGCGTGAAACAGACTCAGTCCACGATTGTCAGCCATGGGTGTCCACCCTCGTGAGAGTGTGAGGGTCCCATTGGGCCATCCCTGAGGCCACAGCTGTGAACAGATGCTAAGTCTGAGACGGTGGGCAGCACGGGGCAGAGCAGTTGCAGCAGTCTCCCCTGGTCAGCCTGACTCCCAGGACAGCCCCGGGAGAAGCCTTCTAGGAAAGACCGGGGGTGTGAGGGCAGAGCCTTTAACAGGAGTGGACATCACAGTGACCCTAGTAATGATGACAGTGCTATGGACAGCCGTCTGCTGACGAATGGGGGTGTCCTAGGCAAGGAAACAGAATCAGTAGGAAACCAATAAAGAGGTGAAAAAAGATACAGAACATACTTGATGTGAATATCTTGATTGTATCACAGCACAATTAGTGACTTTGCTGAAATAAAAATATGCCAAAAAAGAGTAGGAAAATATGACAGTCGATTTAAATTAAGCGTGTTTAAATATCTGAAAGATAAAGGGAGGCAACCATATGGATTATTTTATAGAAGAACTGGCAGTTATTGAAAAGAGTTAGGAAAGGTAGAGATGGCAAATCCAGTAGAATGAACACTTTAAAAAATGTCATCCCATCAAGGACAAGACAGCTGAGGGACCAATTATGAAATTGAATGCAATATTGAGGAAATGTTCCAGAATGAAGGTTAGAGAGACCAGAAATGGAAATTCAAGATACTTGGGGAATAGAATGAGGAGGGCCCACGTCATATCTATTGTAAGTGTCAGAAGGAAAGGTCATGACGTATAACAACGGCCAAAGAAATGAAGAATTGAACATTTTTCAGAGATGAGGACAGGCCAACTAAGTGCTAGGACGCATGGATTTAAAAGTGACATCTGGGGTTCAAGATGGCGGAGTAGAAGGACGTGCACTCACTCCCTCTTGCGAGAGCACCGGAATCACAACTAACTGCTGAACAGTCATCAACAGGAGGACACTGGAACTCACCAAAAAGATACCCCACATCCAAAGACAAAGGAAAAGCCGCAATGAGACGGTAGAAGGGGCGCAGTCACAATAAAATCAAATCCCTTAACTGCTGGGTGGGTGACTCACAGACTGGAGAACACTTATACCACAGAAGTCCACCCACTGGAGTGAAGGTTCTGATCCCCACATCAGGCTTCCCAACCTCGGGGTCCGGCAACGGGAGGGAGAATTCCTAGAGAATCAGACTTTGAAGGCTAGCAGGATTTGACTGCAGGACTTTGACAGGACTGGGGGAAGCAGAGATTCCACTCTTGGAGGGCACACGTAAAGTAGTGTGTGCATCGGGACCCAGGGGAAGGAGCAGTGACCCCATAGAGATTGAACCAGACGTACCTGCTAGTGTTGGAGGGTCTCCTGCAGAGGAAGGGGGTGGCTGTGGTGCACTGTGAGGACAAGGACACTGGCAGCAGAAGTTCTGGGAAGTACTCCTTGGCGTGAGCCCTCCCAGAGTCCACCATTAGCCCCACCAAAGAGCCCAGGGAAGGCTCCAGTGTTGGGTCACCTCAGGCCAAACAACCAACAGGGAGGGAACTCAGCCCCACCCATCAGCAGACAAGCAGATGAAAGTTTTACTGAGTTCTGCCCACCAGAGCAACACCCAGCTCTACCCACCACCAGTCCCTCCTATTAGGAAACTTGCACAAGCCTCTTAGATAGCCTCATCCACCACCAGAGGGCAGAGAGCAGAAGCAAGAAGAACTACAATCCTGCAGCCTGTGGAACAAAAACCACACTCACAGAAAGATAGACAAGATGAAAAGGCAGAGTGCTATGTACCAGATGAAGGAACAAGATAAAACCCCAGAAAAACAACTAAATGATGTGCAGATAGGCAACCTTCCAGAAAAAGAATTCAGAACAATGATAGTGAAGATGATCCAGGACCTCAGAAAAAGAATGGAGGCAAAGATTGAGAAGATGCAAGAAAAGTTTAACAAAGACCTAGAAGGATTAAAGAACAAACAAACAGAGATGAACAATACAATAACTGAAATGAAAACTACACTAGAAGGAATCAGTAGCAGAATAACTGAGGCAGAAGAATGGATAAGTGACCTGGAAGACAGAAGGGTGGAATTCACTGCTGTGGAAGAGAATAAAGAAAAAAGAATGAAAAGAAATGAAGACAGCCTAAGAGACCTCTGGGACAGCATTAAACACAATAACATTTGCATTATAGGGGTCCCAGAAGGAGAAGAGAGAGATAAAGGACCTGAGAAAATATGTGAAGAGTTTGTAGTTGAAAACTTCCCTAACATGGGAAAGGAAATAGCCACCCAAGTCCAGGAAGCACAGAGAGTCCCAGGCAGGATAAACCCAAGGAGAAAAACTCCAAGACACATAGTAATCAAATTGACAAAAATTAAAGACGAAGAAAAAATATTGAAAGCAACAAGGGAAAAACGACAAATAACATACAGGGGAACTCGCATAAGGTTAACAGCTGATTTCTCAGCAGAAACTCTACAAACCAGAAGGGAGTGGCAGGACATATTTAAAGTGATGAAAGGGAAGAACCTACAACCAAGATTACTCTACCCGGCAAGGATCTCATTCAGATTCGACGGAGAAATCAGAACCTTTACAGACAAGCAAAAGCTAAGAGAATTCAGCGCCACCAAACCAGCTGTACAACAAATGCTAAAGGAACTTCTCGTAAGTGAGAAACACTACAGAAGAACAGGACCTACAAAAACATACCCAAAACAATTAAGAAAATGGGAATAGGAACATAGTGTCAATAATTACCTTAAACATGAATGGATTAAACGCTCCAACCAAAAGACACAGGCTTGCTGAATGGATACAAAAAACAAGACCCATATATATGCTGTCTACAAGAGACCCACTTCAGACCTAGGGACACATACAGACTGAAAGTGAGGGGATGGAAAAAGATATTCCATGCAAATTGGAAATCAAAAGAAAGCTGGAGTAGCAATACTCATAGCAGATAAAATAGAGTTTAAAATAAAGAATGTTACAAGAGACAAGGAAGGACATAATGATCAAGGGATCAGTCTAAGAAGACGATATAACAATTATAAATATATATGCACCCAACATAGGAGCACCGCAATACGTAAGGCAACTATCAGCTATAAAAGAGGAAATTGACAGTAACACAATAATACTGGGGGACTTTAACACCTCACTTACACCAATGGACAGATCATCCAAACAGAAAATTAATAAGGAAACACAAGCTTTAAATGACACAATAGACCAGAGAGATTTAATTGATATTTATAGGACAATCCACCCCAAAAAAGCAGATTACACCTCCTTTTCAAGTGCGCACGGAACACTATCCGGGATAGATGACACCTTAGGTCACAAATCAAGCCTCAGTAAATTTTAAAAACTTGAAATCATATCAAGCATGTTTTCTGACCACAACGCTATGAGATTAGAAATCAATTACAGGGAAAAAAATGTAAAAGCCACAAACACATGGAGGCTAAACAGTATGTTACTAAATAACCAAGAGATCACGGAAGAAATAAAAGAGGAAATCAAAAAAATACCTAGAGACAAATGACAATGAAAACACGACGACCCAAAACCTGTGGGATGCAGGAAAAGCAGTTCTAAGAGGGAAGTTTATAACAATACAAGCCTACC